TTATCCTATGTCGTTAAGTATGTTACCGACCGTTGGAAAACATCAATTTAGTTCCCGATCACGACGCGCGCGCTGTACAGCTGAAATCTTGCGCATGCGTCTCCTCCACTGATCGCCTATATAAAACGCACTCCCGGTGAAAAACCGTTACTCTTGAGGTTCACAGTGTCAATGAGCGCAGGTTTTGCCCAGTTCCGTGTTACATTATTCTTTTCCAGCATACTAGAGTTGTGGAGTGTGTTTATTATATTATAAGATTATTAATAAATTTAGTTATATGCTTTATTATTTAAAGTAACAAAAATATATATTCAGTAATAAACTATGAGGCAGCATAAACTCTTACCCTCATGACAAGATTTAAGATAGATCACAATACGAATCGATTTGTGAAAGTAGAATTCAACAAAAAAATTATCAAAGAATTTTCAATTTAAAAAAACATTTGGTCCTAACCTGGATGATTTATTATTTTTATTATTGCAGAAATGTCATTTGTTTAAATTTCTCGAAATGCCAAATTTTGGATTCATCAGTTTTTGAAAAATTCCTCCTCAATTATGTTTTCATAGCGAATTTATCAAAACGCAAAATCTAGTTTCACTATTCTTAGAAAAATCTATCTATTTATAAAAAGAATTGTTCTTGGAAATTTGTAGAGTAAAAATTTTCCATAATCTGCATTTCAGACTAAATCTGATAAACAATTCATCTTTTTATGTAACAGTGTGATAATAATTTTCCTTGACATCTAGATGGTTTTTTTATCGTTGGGACAAGACGGGCAAATCACTTGACGAACCGATTCGATAGTGTTATTCACAAGGGAGTTGTGGGGAACGATTTACATTTAAATGCAATAACAAGTTTTTGAATAGTTACGCTTCACATGAGATATGAGCAAAAATAGCGTGGCACATGCGATCATCCGGCAAAGCTCGTCATGCGATACGACGCTGTCCAAGTTTGCAGAAACTCTCTTCCTCTCTCTCTCTCCCACCTTCTCTCTCTTTCTGTTTGATCCGTCAAAAGCTCGTCTAACTAGGGATACGATCGTTTGGTAATTCGTGACGTGCCCATTTCCCTTCTGTTGATGCTTCTCAAGCACATGTAGAAAATGTGTGTGTGTGTGAAGGGGTACAAATCGAAGGATCCAATTTCAAGATTTCCTTCCGCGGTAAAAGTTTCCGATGAAAAGTGTCGCCGAGCATCATATTGAAGGTGAAGAGATACGGGAAATGCAAAATATCTACCTGTCAAGTAGATGTGCATCTCATTTTCTCCATCTCCTTATGGATATATATATAGGAGTATAAAAATAAGGATTTTTAAAAAACATTCTGCATCTAAAATAGAACAAAAATAATGTTTTTATAACTTACTTTTAAGGATCACTGTTTCTTTTTGTATATATTTCAATTTTTCTTTTCCCTCTCACATTTCTATATAAACAGTATTTTCTCCTCTCCAATAAACAGAGGAAACTAAATCAATTTCAAAACTGTTAGAAATAAATATGACGATACCATCAGGTGAAATTTGTATAATTTATTTTAAACCATTTTAGATAATTAACTTTTTTTAAGGATTATATTTTCCATGACATTAGAAATGTTACATTTATCTTATTCACCGAAAAGGAATATAATATTAACATATCAGATTATGTTGAGATAAAATTCATTTCTTGGAATAATATTAACCATATGTGGGCAAATTGTGAGAAATGGTGATACCTTTTCCGTTTGTGAATATAGGTGTATTTCATGGATGTGCAGGATTTCAGTGCGGAGATATTTGAGAATGCTATGAGGTGGGTCTACCGCTTCCATAAATCTTGGAGTTTGCTGTTGTCTTTTTGTATTTCGTGCAACTGAATGTCGGTTTCAGGATAGTGAGTGGCATTATTTAGCACAGATTGTAGCCACCCGCAAGTAACAAGAAACGCGCTGCACACGACAAAAGCTCAACTCTAGTACAATTCTTAATGCACACACGAGAGTCTTTTTTACTATACACACACACATATAGCTTCATGGTAAAGTTTACTTTATATAAACATTAAACTAGTCTTTTCTTAAGTTTTCGAGACACAAAATTCTGCTTTTTCGAGAGTCAAGTTTCATGGCGGCAGTTGCATATTTATATAGTTAAGTTTATTTCTTAGCGTGCATAATTCAAACTCAAATGACTTTATACAACTTTTATAAGTAAGTTTTACTCTCATACGTCTTTGATTTGTTATTAATATAGTTCTTGACAAAATTTCCTGAGAAAAAAAATTAAAAAGCAACGTAAAACATAATTTAATTATATATGGGTATTTTAAACACATTTTTTTACATCCGAAGAAAGATAAGTATTTATTATCTCATGATCCTGTTACGTCTCCGAAGGAAATGCAAAAAACTTACAATATAATATTATATTTCAAACCTGTTTTATTTACGAAGCGGAAGGCTTCGAACTAAGGGAACAGATAGGAAACAGAATGCTTTTGTTAGATGAACCAAAGGTTTGTTTATTTTTCACTTTTACAAATATCTCTCGTAGAAACTGTCAGGTGGATTTTTGTCCAAATATCAGATACCACTAAAAGCGGAATCAAACACTTTAGAACTCAGAATTAAGATTTTTAGATTAAAATATAAATTGGAATGACTTACTTTAATTCAAAATGTAATTTTTGTTCCTCCTGAAGTCAAACGGTTGATGAACGCCCAAAGATTAGCGACTTGGTGGTCCAAGCCTGGCTAACCCCAAAACTGTCAGGAAACTGGCAATTGGTTATGATGACCTCAATTTGGTGGAAAAATGGCTCAAGTCGACAAACCCCAATATTGGCGGTAGAATGGCTTGAGATTGTTAAAGAACCAACGTTGGCAAAGGAATGACGCAAGTTTGTCGAAACTTCCAAGAAAAACTGCCTCAAAGCTGGCAAGATTAAAATAGAGCAAAACTGTCTCAAAGCTGGCGGAGATCCACAGGTCGATAATTTGCAGACATAATGTCGCAAGGACGTGACAATCCTAACAGCATCCGGATATTCAGGATGTTCTACAGACGTCCAAGGAATATAATTTTGTCCAGGGAAATTAGGACGTTCACGGACATCTTAGGGATATTCTAATTTCCCGCTGGATCAAATTATAATGACTCCATCACTAGTCACCATTAATAGTCAATCGGAAATGAAATAAATATCGGTTCTGATTTTTTGTTTTGTTATCAAAAACTCTCGCAAGGCATTGAGGATTCTTATCAGAATACAAAGATATTAAGAACATCACTATCGATCATTGATATTGGAAGTCATCAAGGAAAGAGCTTCGTATATATATTCAGATGTGAGTCCCGAATATTCAAGAACACCAGAAAGACGAAAATGCTGTTTTGTTGGCAATCTATCAAAATACTACTGGCAGCCATTTTTCTATGGACTTCTAACATCAATTAATTCAACATCGGATAGTTCAGAAATCTGCATTACCGACGGCTGCGTATCGATTATTGACATTATATTGAATATTAATTAATATAAATGACACCGAGAAGAGAGGCGCTGATTAGCGATGCTTTCGAGTTTGACTCGTCGGCCATTTTACTCTCATTCTCATTCTGGTGTTCGTCGAGTTAGTGTCATTCTCTTTTGGTGAAATATTTCAAAATGTAAAGGTAGACGAGGCGATGATCGTCGTCGTCATCATCCTTTAAATTCGGACTGTGAGTCCTAATTATTTAATTTTAGGGTCGTTTCCTTCCAAATCGTAATCATTAATATTAAAATATAATTGAATAAATAAAATTTGAATCTTGTCTTTCGGACTTCTGGCAATTTTTTATTTTTTCTAAATTTTGAAGTGAAAATTAATAAATAGTATAATTGTTGTAAATTTTGTGTAATTAATGGTTTTTATCCGTATACCCCTCCCCTCTTTAAGGTCTATTATAGAGTTCCTGAGCTGGTTTTTCTTATGTAAAATTATAAACTTTTATCGAATATTTGTAATTTAATATATTGATAAAATAATAGTAAATTAAATATTAAAACTCGGTCGAACTATTTATCAAGATCAGTTACGACTGGAAAGTAAGTCCCAAAATAATTGTAGTCGTTCCTTCTGAACAGATATTATTATTGTAAAACTAAAATTATATTTTATTAATAACGATTATTATTTTAACTAATAATAATTTAATTATTATATAATATATTATATATAATTAATTAATAATTAAATAATTTTAACTAATACCTATAAATTTTTAATATTATCCAAATTATTTGATTAGTAATAAGTTCAGTGATTTCCGATAATTGATGGTGCTTTTCCTTACCGTGGTTTATTTTCGCGGTCTATAATTTATGATTATAGAGAATTTCTTTTTTTCGAAAATATATAATTTTTGTTCTTCGTGGTTTAATTCATTAGAATTCTGAAAAATTTATTCCATTACAATTGCTATTTTCTTCAAATATTTGCAATTTTTTGACATCATGCGCGGAGATTCTTTATACTATTTTTTATTTCTCTTCACAAAATATTTAGGTTAATCTATCAATCAAGTATTTTACTGACAAATTTATAGAGAATATTTACATATGAAATCACGATGTAACAATCACATTTACTTAAAATTTGTGACCTCGAAAAAATGTCAAGTATCCTATAAAACTGCATCAATAGTTAAACATTATTTTTTTAAATTACCTTCACAGTTTAAATAAATAAATTTCTTTCAATTTATTTTTGAGAAATCCAAGTGCAATCAAATTATGTATAAAACAAATTTTAAAAGATATAATTTTATTATCATGAAATGATTAGAGTCTTTAATAGATACTTATAAACGTGTTAGCTGATAATATATTTTTTCATTATCAATAATCAAGAAATCTACATTTTATCGAGAATAGTTGGTAATATAATTTGTGTATGTTTTTCCTTATTATTATTTTTAATTTTTATTGTTATTTTACTGTAGTATTGAGTAACACTTCAAATTCCTGAGAATTATAAGTTATCATTTTTAGTTAATCTAACACATTCGTATATGTTTTTAAACTAAAAACAATAATTACTTTTCTGAATTCTGATTGCTTTATTAGTATTTAAAAAATTTAATTAAAGTTCTTTTTTTTGTATCTACCACTTTGAATTTTATAAAATTGACATTGAATTAGTAATCAATTTTCAGAAAGTTTTCCACCATAATGGATCCGCCATTTTGAATTTCGAAAATTAGATATTAAATTCGTGATCAGCGACCCTAAAAACCGCCGATTAACTAGAATCAAACAATTTTAATATATAGAAGAGCATTCAAATAGTTGTTTTCTAGAAAAACTTATTTCGCACGATAGTTCCCCTCTCAAGTGACCAGGTTACAGATAATAATTGATATGACTCAATTATCGATCAGTATAAAATCCCTTTGCTTTTGAAGTGTATACTTATTAATGTTTTAACTTTTTCGATATCAATTCTCTATTGACGTAAGTAATGGCAACTTGATTTTCATAATCATTTTTTATCCACACACATTTTATGTAACGAAAAATTTTCCTGGAATTCTTTCACATTTATATAATAGTAATTTTTTTTTACATGTAACAAAAAAATTAAAATAACATTTCAATATCAATAAATGTCACTTTTTTATTAATATTTTCTAATAATATTACAAAAGTTAGTGTAAAAAATAATTATAAACATTTGAAATTTTTTAAAAAAGGGGTAAAAGTGATTTTTTTTCGAATGGTGTAAATAACTCATTTAATTTATTTGAGCAAGAAAAAATGCTTGGGTCTACTGGACCCATGGTGGCAGTTAAGGGTTAAAACTAGTTTTAACGAAATTTTTTTTACGTTCAATTTTAGAATATATCTTTTCATAATATTCTTTTTCAGCTAGCTTGAAGGAAAAAAAATGGCTGGATTCAAATCAATTGGATTATTGTTGATGCTGATTGCAACAATCATAATGATGGTAGCTCCATCTGCAATGGCGGCTTGCCTTAAAAATGGCAGAAAATGTAAAGCTAATGGAAAATGGGGTAACTGTTGTTCTGGATATTGTCATCAACTAATAGGCAAATCAAGTGGAATATGCCGAAGACGTTAATGATATTTTTTTGATACATTTGACACAAATGATCAATAATAATTAATTTAGAAGACGTGATAATAATTACCACTCCTATTGATTTTAAAAACATTTAAAATTGGCATATAATCTTTAATATATTATGTATTTTTTTAGCCAATAAAAAATTTCATTAAAAATTTGTAAAATAAATTCTAATACATTTTTAAAAATATTTTATTTCCCAATATTGATTGCGCATATTTAGAATTAATTAGTTGATGAAGTAGGAAGATTAGTATTCATAAACAGAATCCAAATAATCAGCCATGGAGTAGTATAAGGAGACTGAACGACCATATTAAATTTGCGTTAAAATTGATCCAAATTTTGGTAACCGCTTAGTGTCATAAAAATATGTAATGGAACAGAAAAGTTTAGAAAAGCTTAGAAAGTTTTCCACCATAATGGATTCGCCATTTTGAATTTCGAAAATCAGATATTCAATTCGTGATCTGCGACCCTAAATACTGCCGATTAAGAAGAATTAAGCCATTTTAATATAAAAGAGCATTTAAATAGTTGTTTTTTAAAAAAACTTATTTCACACGATAGTTCCCCTCTCAACTGACCTGGTTACAGATAATAATTATCTGTCAGTATAAATCCCCTTTTGCTTTTGAAATATGTACTTATTCATATTCTAAATCTTTGGACATCAATTCTCTATTGATGTAAGTAATATCAAATTGATTTTCTTAATTATTTATTATATACACATTTTTTATTACGAAAAAAAATTTTTTGACATTTTTTCATAATTCTATAATAAAGTTATTTTTTTTACACTTAACAAAAAAATTAAAATAACATTTCATTAGCAATAAATGTCACTTTTTTTATTAATATTTTCTAATAATATTACAAAGGTTATTATCAAAAATAATTACAAACATTTGAGCAAATTCAAGAGTCATTAAAATGGTGATTCAAAATTATGGTTGCATCTTTTGAAGTAAATCGAAAATTGTCAAATGCAATTTTACCGAAAATCCCAGTTGCTCCCTTTTTCAAAATATCGACGAAAACGTCAGTTATCAATTAAAAAACTCCAAATTTGCTAAAAATATATATTTATTCATACACTTCTCAATATACAGGGGGTCAATTACTTAATTTTTTCCGAATCCCACATTCCGGATTCCACTTTTAAAATTCCGTATTCCAGATTCTACATTCCCGTATTTTACTTTTCAAATTCCGTATTTCGGATTTAACATTCCGGATTCCACTTTTCACATTCCGTATTTCGAATTCCGCATTCCAGATCCTACTTTCAAAATTCCGTATTTTATATTCCACATTTCACTACCGGATCCCACTTTCAAAATTCCGTAATTCAGATTCCACATTCCGGAATCCACTTTCAAAATTCCACAAACAGGTTTTCGCATTTCACATTCCGTATTCTAGATTCCACTTTTCATATTCCGGATTCCACTTTTTACATTTCGGATTCAACTTTCAAAATGCCGAATTCCACATCTCACATTCTGAAAGTGAAATCCGGAATGTGAAAACCGGAATATGAAATCCGGAATGTGGGATGCGGAATATGGAATTCGGATTTCTAATTTTCTTTTAAAATTAATTAAAATTTTATTTATTGCAACACGAAGAACACTTCTTTTTATAATAACGCGCATTTCACTTACAATTTTAAAAACCTCGTATATAATTTCGAATAGTGATAATGATTGCTTTTTTTGTTTTTCATCACATTCTATAAGAGATGTAATTACGTTTATCTCATGAACTTTGTTCCACACTAATCTATTACTTGTTGCATTTACAATATTTTCAATCATATTTATTGTGATTGAATCATACTTTTATTTGAAAACAAAAAATTATTTTCAAAATTATTCTCTTTGGTAAATTTAAGAAAAATATTTATCTTGTTTCCTGGAATTTTGAAAGTAGGATCTGGAATGCGAAATTCGAAATATGGAATGTGAAAAGTGGAATCCGGAATGTTGAATCCGAAATACGGAATTTGAAAAGTAAAATACGGGAATGTAGAATCTGGAATACGGAATTTTAAAAGTGAAATCCGGAATTTTTAATTCGGAGTTTTTAATTCGGATTTTCGGTAATTAGACAATTACAAATATTTATATTAATTAACGAGTGTTGAATTGTTCAATTGCAATAGTGGATTGCCGCTGGGTTCAAGGCTATGTTTGACAGACATAACCTCAAATTCAGGTCAAATTTTGGCGGGAAATCCCCCCCTAACCAAGAAACGAACATAACTTTAAACTTAGCTCAAATTTTGTCAGAAAATACAAATAAACGAACATAAACTGAAAATTTATATATGAATTTTGACCAAGAATATAGCCACAAGTCCCTAGGATTGCCGCTGGGTTCGAGGCTGTGTCTGACAGACATAACCTCAAATACCCCTTACCAAGAAACGAACATAACCTCGAAAATTACCTACCCTTACCTAACCTAACTTAATCAACCTAAACTAATCTGAGTAGGCTGCTGGATTCGAAGCTATGTCCGACAGACATAACCTCAAATACCCCTAACCAAGAAACGAACATAACCACAAAAATTACCTAACCTAACCTTGTCAAAAACGTAGGTTGTATACAGTTGATATGGAATGATTCATACTGAAGACAGCAACGAATTTTTTTTATAATATAGAGAGATATATTTATATAAAATCTATTATATAATTTGCAAAATCAGTGTTTTTTAATTAAAAAATAACGTCTTCGCCGATATTTTGAAAAGGGGAGCAGCTGGGATTTTCATCAAAATTGCATATTTGACTATTTTCGATGTGCTTAAACAGATCCTACCATAATTTTGAGTCAACATTTTAATGACTCTTAAATTTGCTATGGAGAGGTGTGTTTAACATTTAGCATATTTTTAAAACTTAGCAAAATTTTTTTTTTACGATCACTATAGTTTAGGATATATTTTTTCATAAAATTGGTTTTTAGCTAGCTTCAAGAAAAAAAAATGTCTGGATTCAAATCAATTGGATTATTATTGTTGATGCTGATTGCAACAATCCTAATGATGGTAGCTCCATCTGTAATGGCGCAATGCCTTAAAAATGGTACAAAATGTAAAGCTAATGGACAATGGGGAAATTGTTGTTCTGGATTTTGTTATCAGATATTTGGCAGAGAATCTGGAATGTGCAAAAGCCGTTAATTACATTTTTTTTTTATACATTTGCCACAAATGATCAATAATAATTAATTTAGAAGACGTGATAATAATTACCACTCCTATAGATTTTAAAAACGTTAAAAATATTTAATCAAATTTTTAATATATTTTGTATTTTTCTAGCCAATAAAAATTTTTATTAAAAAATTGTTAAAATAAATTCTAATACAATTTTGTAAATATTTTAAATCCCAACATTAATATCACATGTATATATATTCTTAACATCATAGGCAATAAGTAGAAAAAAAAATTTTTGAAATCGAAGATGTAGTTTTTTCAAAAAATGAATTCAAAATTTTTTTTTGCATTTTTTCCGAGCAAAAAAAAATTATTTCTTTTCATTCGAACTATTTTTTTCTTAAAATAGCATCTTTTTGTGAGAAATTTGAAAAAAAATTGATCTCATTTGGATAACAAAAAAAAAGTTACATGGTTTTCTTTAAAAAAATTATATAAATTTTTAATTAGAGATATCTCAAAAAATTTTGAAAATTTTGAAAAACTGATTGTGGGCTTTCATTTTATACAAATAAAGGAATATATTCACAGGGTTTCAATAAAATTGCTCTAATCATCAAAAATTCTTGTGATCACATTCCATGGAATTCCTCATTAACCTTAAATAGTTAATTAATTAACTAAAAATTGTAAATATTATATAAGAAAATAAAAAAAATTTTAACATAAATGTTTTCCAAAGGTTTTTTTGTGCTCTTTCGATTGGTAAAAAAAAATTTCAAAATTTGTCCTTTTTTCTGAAAATCTAAATTTTTTTTGACTTTTTTTTAAGTTCCGTCTCTTTTTTAAATTTATTTTTATTGTAATTTAAAAATGTGCATTTTTAGCTTAAAAAATATTCAGATGTCCTTTTTTGTTATTTTCCAGATATTAGTTAATTAATTAATGTTAATAAAAATTCATATATCTTATAAATTAAAATTACGTCAGCTTTCAATTGGTATCTTCAGGATTGCAATAACTTTATTTATTTGTGAAATATTTCATTTTTTATTAACATTAATTAATTAATTAATTAATATCTCGAAAATAATAAAAAAGGACATCTCAATACCGAACTTAAAAAAAATTCGAAAAAAAGTTTAATTTTTTTTAAGAATTTTTACAGTTTTTGTTAAATATAAATTTTTATCACCTATGTAAAGAAAAAATATATCGGAATGGAATTTTCATTATCAATAAATATATAAAAATTCTATTTATGCAGTACGGTACAAAATATTTTTTTAGTCTAAGTTTAATATATGCAAATTTCAAATGATATGATGATAAATAGAAGAAATATTAATTTTCAAATATTTACAATTAATAGAGATAATGATTGATATGACGCAATCTTTTTTTAGTAAAAAACCCCTTTTTGCTGTTTCAATTATGTACTTATTCATAATACCTTCTTCTTGATATCAAGAATTTAGAATTACGGTAAGTAATAAAAACTTTGATACTTAATACACATTTTCTATTATGAAAAAATTTTTACATTGTTTCGTGGCCAATTTTAATATTAACCTTGCTAAGGAAAAAAGCCATAGCAACCATTGCTAAGGAAAAAAATTCTTAGCAACGGTTGCTAAGGAAAAAAATCCATAGCAACCGTTGCTAAGGAAAAAAGCCATAGCAATCGTTGCTAAGGAAAAAAATGTATAGCAACCGTTGCTAAGGAAAAAATCCATAGCAACCGTTGCTAAGGAAAAAAAACCCATAGCAACCGTTGCTAAGGAAAAAAATCCATAGCAACCGTTGCTAAGGAAAAAAACCCATAGCAACCGTTGCTAAGGAAAAAAACCCATAGCAACCGTTGCTAAGGAAAAAAATCTATAGCAACCGTTGCTAAGGAAAAAAGCCATAGCAACCGTTGCTAAAGAAAAGAATCCATAGCAACCGTTGCTAAGGAAAAAAATCCATAGCAACGGTTCCTATGGTAACTGTTGTCATGGAAACGGTTGCTATGGTAACTAATACCATGGCAACCGTATAAATGTACGACGAATGGACGGATTGACGCCAAAGCGAAACTATAAGGCTTTCGGGACATATTGTTTTACAAATGAGTTTAATAATAAATAAAAAGGTGTTTAAGTATTAAGAATTGCTTCGAAAATCAAATATTTATTTTCTAATTGATTTTACAGCGAAGCAAACAGAAAAATGTCTGGATTCAAATCAATTGGACTATTGTTGATGATGATTGCAATAATCGTAATGATGGTAGCTCCATCTGCGATAACAGCTTGCCGTATTACTGGTAAAAGTTGCAAAGTTATTGGTAGTAAGGAAAAATGTTGTTCTGGATATTGTCATGCAAAAGGAGGCAAAGCAACTGGAATATGCAAATGACGTTAATTATATTTTTTCTAATAAATTTTCAACAAATGATTATAATAATAATTAATTTAGAAGATTTGGTAACGATTGTCACTCCTATAGATATTAAAAACGTTTAAAATATTTATCTTTAATATTATGTATTTTTCTAGGCAATAAAAAATTCCACTAAAAATTGTAAAATAAATTCTAATTCATTGTTTTAAATATTATATTTCCCAAAATTGATATCACATGTATAAAGCGAAAATTCGTTAAAATAATAAAGTTTACCATATTGGATCCGCCATTTTGAATTTTATGAAACGGATATCGAATTCGTAATCAGCGACTCCAAAAACCCCCGAATAACAACTTTCATCAACTTAGGTCCAATTTTAGGATTTTTTTTGGCCGCCATATTGGATCCACCATTTTGAATTTTCTGAAATTTGACATCAGTAACCACAAAAAGACTTGAGTAGTAATTTTCATAAGGTTACCTATTTTTAATTGCGCTATGTATATTGTAATTTATTTGTTTGGAAGCTTATTTTGAGGTTAGAATCGATAAACAAAAAAAAATTTAATTCGTTGTCTGCCTTAAAAATATATTGAATTTGTTTTTGGTTTTTGGATTTTTAATATTTTTTTTTTTTTTTTGAGGAATTGAGAACATTTTTGTTTATTTATAAAAAACTTTTAATCGAATTTAAATAAAAAAAAATTCTAATAATTAGAAATAATAAAAATTTATAGATATGATAAAATATAAAAGGGTAAATAAAATTTTCAATAATTGATACAAAATAGACACCTATGTAAACAGAGTATTTAACGAAATTGAAGTTTTATTATCAATAATAAAATAAAAATTCTATTTATATCGTACGGCGCAAAAAAAAAATTTTTTTGTGCGACTAAATTTAATATATGTAAATTTAAAATATAATGATAAATAGAAGGAAAATTAATTGGCATATATTTACAACTATCAGATAATGATTGATCTGACGCAATCGTTTTAGTATAAAGACCCCCTCTTTCTTTTCCAAGTATGTACTTATTCATAATCTCTTCATCTTGATATCAATTTAAAATTGCGGTAAGTAATAAAAATTTTGATACTTTATATTTACACTTTTTATCTTGTGAAAAAAATTTACATTTTATTTTTAAACTAAAGTTTAAAAAAATAGTATAAAAATAAAACTTTTGCTTTGTATGAGAAAAATAATTGGTTACCTTGTGGAGAAAAATATTGCAAAAAGAGATTTTTTCAATAGTTTTTTATTTTTAGTAAAAATAATTAACAATTTATAATTATTTTGTAAATTGATTTTACAGCGAAAGAATAATAGAAAAATGGCTGGATTTAAATCAATTGGATTATTGGTGATGTTGATTGCAACAATTCTAATGATGATAGCTCCCTCCGCAATGGCATGCCTTCAAAAGGATCAAAGATGTAAAAAAGATGGCACTTTGGGCGATTGTTGTGAAGGATACTACTGTAGCCAATATTCAGGACATGGATCTGGTAAATGCAAAGTTAGTCATCAATTGCCATTTTAAATATTTATTATAAAATAGTAATCAATAATAATTATTTAGAATTGGTATAAATGGTTATCAATCCTGTAAAATTCTATACTCGTTTATTGTTTGCAATACAGAAAAAAAGATGTATCTTTTAAATCATTAAACAATTTCAGTAATTTTGTCTTATTCTACTTCTTTTTCCTTCTTTTTAAATTTTATAAAAAATTTATCAGGAAGTACTTTCCCGTGTCATACTTTTGATAATATATAGTGGTAGTTTGATCTCTGATTAAAATTTCGGATTGGGGATCAATTACGTAACATTTTCCGCATTCCACATTCTGGATACCAAATTCCGAATCCCTCTTTTCACATTCAGTATTCCGAATTCCACATTTCGGATTCCACTTTCAAAATTCTGTATTCCGGATTCCACTTTTCATATTCCGTATTCCACTTGTCACATTCCATATTTCACATTCCGGATCCGGAATTCCGTATTCCTGATTCCACTTTTCACAGTTTGGATTCCAAATTCCGAATCCCTCTTTTCACATTCAGTATTCCGAATTTCACATTTCGGATTCCACTTTTTATATTCCGTATTCCACTTTCCACATTCCATATTTTACATTCCGGATGCGGCATTCCGTATTCCTGATTCCACTTTTTACAGTTCGGATTCGAAATTCCAGATCCCATTTTTCACATTTCGCATTTCATATTCCGATTTCCACATTCCGGATCTCACTTTTCACATTCCGAATTCCACTTTTAAAATTCTATATTCCGGATCCTATATTCAACATTCCATGTTCCACTTTCCACATTCCAGATCCCACATTACGGATTCCATTTTTCACATTCCGGATTCCACTTTTAGAATGTGAGATGTGGAATCCTGAATTTTGAAAGTGGAATCCGAAATGTGAAATTCGAAATACGGAATGTAAAAAGTAGAATACGGAATGTGTAAAGTGTAATCCTGGATCATGGAATTCAGAATGTCGATTCCAGAATGTGAAAAGTGGAATCCGAAATACGGAATGTGAAATACGGTATTTTGAAAGTGGAATCCGGAATTGTTAAAGTGTAATACTGAATGTGGGATTCGAAATACGGAAATTTGAAGGCGGAATCCAGAATCTGAAATACAGAATTTTGAAAGTGGGATCCGCAAAAAGTTACTTAATTGATCCCCTGATTTTAGATTAAATACAGACAGATCAGTCTGGATTAGTCCAGAGATTGTACGAAAACAATCCAAAAATGATCCGTATTAGTCAGCAATCAGTCCGGATGAAATAAAAAATCTGAAATAGTTCGAAATTGACATGAAATAAATCCGCAATTAGCCCGCAACAAATTAATTTTAGTTAGATCAAAAAATAATTCAAAATAAACCCAGAATAATCCAGAATTTTTATGTAAATCATAATAATGAGTCCGTACATACTCTGAAATCTTTGTATGAAAAATCTGGTATTAGTCCATAATAATCCTGATTTAATGTGATAAAAAATCCTAATTCGAAATGATTCTGAAAAAAATTGAAATTAATTTTTTTTTATAAATAAAAATAAAATAAACGTTATGATCAGCTGACCCTCACAGCACCAGATATCCTAGGATATTCCAAAAACATCCCTTGGATATCCTAGGGATACCCCAGGGATATCCTAAGGATACTTTAAGGATATCCAAAGTAGCGGCGGTTAGGATATCCCAGGGATATCTAAGGATGTCCCTAGGACGTCCCAGGGATATCCTAATCATTTCCCCGGATATCCCAAGGATTTTGAAAATATTCATTTTTGTTAAATTGGCGAGCTCTTGAAATTACAAGTTGATATTTCGACCAAAAAATCGGTACTTTTTCGTCCCTAAAAAATAGAAATTTTATTATATCGAAAATCGGACACGTATTTCAGTGAAGAATGTTGTTTTAAAGATATGATAAAAATTTTAATTGAAAAAAAGTGAAAATTGATTGAGTTATACTGCGTGCAAATTTGAAAAATCGTATTTCGAAAAAAACGCGTTTAAAGTTTTGACATGTGTTTAATTCATGAAAAAATAATAAATTGTACTAAAAATTTTTTACCATTAGTTGCTGCTATTCCAGGACCATATATAGTTTACCTTCTAATGACGTCTTTTAGTGAATTAGAAAAGTTCGAAGTTGAATTCAATGGTATTATGTGGACCCAAAGAGCAGGTAACAATTTACTATCAAAGAATCTGTAAGTCAAAAAAAATTTCGTTTTTTTGAAAATTCTACAATGGTGTAACTCCTTAAAACAGTGTCTTATATTTTTTTTTTTTGTTGAGACAGAAGTCAACGCTTTCTTTGCAATGTAACGACCTAAATAGAATACGTCTTTTAAAGTAAAGTCTAAAGTCTTCTATATGAAAAGGTCTTATCAAATTCTTTCTTTTGAAGAAAAAAGCAACTTTGCGGACAATATATAGCAAGCGGACTTCGTTAACGTTTTGTAGACAAGCTACTAATTACTTTCGAGTCTTGAAACTCGAGAATCTCTGCCAATCTTGGCAGTACAGTGAAGTAATTCGTTGCTTTCGATATATAGTTTGTTTTAATTATTCATGAAGCTATAAATTTTGGGCAAGTCCATTTACTGCTCTTTCTTAGTCCAATATAGTTCTCGAAATTGCTCTCTTCTGCTTTCGGTATCGATTTCCAATTTGACTTTACGATAATCGTCGCAAACATGGGAAAGAACAAGGGTCGTTTTGCAAATTGCCAGGATGTTGAACGGCACTTGTCGATGCTCGATCCAAAATGTCTTTATGTATGTCCGTTTTGCGTCTACTCCAATCTGTTTCGATTTACTCACTATATATATATATATATATCTATATATCCACTTCTATAGACACAAATATCAGTGGCAGTTATACAGGTAAAATTCAACTATATCTACAGTCAAGTTTTGTTAATAAAGGCAAGTCGCGCTTTTCAAAAACGGATATATACTGTATGTATCGAAACGCATACATATGTATGCATTTTGTCGGTTCCGGAGGCTATCATATTCTCGGCCCGACGCTCCCACTATAAACCGCCTCCTACACGCAATATCCAAAACAATAGAATTTTACTGCCGCGCAATCGCAAATTCTCACACTCAACCCCTTATCCATCCTCTTCCCACTATTCATGTAAATCAACGGTACCCCAGAGGGACACTTACTCTTCACTAATAGTTGAGTGTAAATTAGAATCAAACGGAAAGTTATGGCCAATGAATTTTGACTTACGAGGTTTGTGGTTCAATATACTTATATAATGGTAAATTTATATCAATTTTTCACATTTATTTCTTTTTTTGTAAAATAAAATTAAAACAAAAAAAAATTTGATACAATTTACGATTTTCATTTATCGTTCTATGAAAACATTTTTTTACGATGAATATCATATATATATATACGGGAAATAATATATATATATCAACTGATAAATTTTATTTAATAATGTTTTTTGATAAAATAGAGCGCGCGAGACCTGTTGTCTGAATAATAAAAATGTCCGAGAGAAAAATATTTGCAGGAAAGTGGAAGAGAAGCTGGGAGATATACGAAAAGAGATATCCCATCTAATTTCGCGAAACGACGATATCCGAAGATGGAACCGGTTGATATATTATTCTCGCCACAACCTACAACTCTTAAGAGATATAGTCCCTTGGCTTTTGGATCCTCTCTCTCTCTCTCGATGTCGTCTTTTCACGTATTCCTTAAAGTATTTTCGTCGTGTGGTCTACGATGTTAAAACCTGCGACTAGCCAACTCCAAAAGTGTCGATAAATTAATATTTTAAAATCTACATTAATTAGTAGGTACAAAATTTTAAGATTAAAATTATAGTTATTTAATTAAATCCCGCACAGCACAATATCTTTCTAGAAGAATTAATATATTATTAAAAAATAAATGCAACAATTTAGTTTTTTTTTATTGATTCATCCCACATTCCGTATTCCACATTCCGGATCCCACTTTCAAAATTCCGTATTTCAGATTCCGGATTTTACTTTCAGAATTCCGTATTCTGGATCCCACAATACGCATTCCACATTCCGGATCCCACGTTCAAAATTCCGTATTTCAGATTCCGGATTTCACTTTCAAAATTCTGTATTTCAGATCGCACATTTAAGATCTTACTCTTCACATTCTGCATTCCGGATTCCACATTCCGGATCCAACTATCAAAAATTTCGGATTTTACTTTGGAAATTCCGTATTCTACATTCCGGATTCCAATATTCACATTCCGGATCCCACTATTAAAATTCCGTATTCCAGATTCCACTTTTTACATTCCTGATTCCACTTTTCACAGTTCGGATTCCAAATTCCGGATCCCATTTTTCATGTTTCGTATTTCGGATTCCACATTCCGGATTCCACTCTTCACAATCTGCATTCCGGATTCCATATTCCGGATCCAACTTTTAAAAATTCTGAATTCTACTTTCAAAATTTCGTATTCTACATTCCGGATCCGACTATTAAAATTCCGTGTTCCAGATTCCACTTTTCCTATTCCGTATTCTGAATTCCACATTCCGGTTTCCACTTTAAAAATTACGTATTCTACATTCCGGATTCCACTTTTCACATTCCGGATTCCACATTTTGAATTACACTTCCAAAATACCGGATTCCACACCCAACATACAGATCCGGAAAACAGAATTCTGAAAGTGGAATGCGGATTGTAAAAAGTCGGACCAGGAATGTGGAATACGGAATGTGAAAAGTGGAATCCGGAATGTGGAATCTGGAAAATTGGATACGGAATTTTGAAAGTGGAATGCGGATTGTGAAAAGTCGGATCCGGAATCTGGAATACGGAATGTGAAAAGTGGAATCTGAAGTGTGGAATGTGATGTGACGTTGTAAAATTTTTTATAAATTTTACAATTCACAAATTTAATTTATTTTAAAAAAAATTAATTAATTAAATTTTACTTAATCAATTTTCAAAAAAAAAAAAATTTTGTTAAACATTTGGAGGTTGCAGCGGATATTCCAAGATTGCTTTAAATTAATTAATTTAATATTCCTTTATTAATTTTATAAATTTATTTTTATTTATATAAACTCCGTTTCCCGATTCCTGATTCCTGTTCAACGAGTCATCGTGG